GTCAGCCACCCCACGGTGGTCGTCCGGCAGCTCCTGGAACCGACCAGCAGGGGTTCGGTCAGGCGGGGTCCGGTCTGCAGCAGGTTTATTTTCAGGGGGTGCAGTCTCCTCGTCCACACACTTCAGGTTCTGCATGTAAATCTGTTTTGTCAACTTTAAATATTAATCCCTGCTTTATTGATGGTACTAACGCTAGCTATGCAGGCTTCACATCGGGTGAGGGTATTCTTGGTTCTGTTCCACCACCTGTAGTCTGTCAGCTTTGTTTCTCTGCAGGTCACTCTGCGCTTCAATGTCCGTCTCGATATGCTCCACCATCTGCGCCAGCTTTGTTGACCTCCACTGGGGAGTCAAACTCTGCTTTGTGGTATCCTGACTCTGGAGCTTCGGCTCACATGACCCCTACGGAAGGTATTTTAGTTAATAAATCAATTTATACTGGACCACTCTCTGTTAGTGTTGCTAATGGCTCTATACTTCCCATTGCTAATGTTGGAGATGTTCATCTACATTCTTCTAGTCGTCCTCTCACGTTGAAATCTGTTTTTCATGTGCCTCACATTAAATTTAATTTACTATCTATTCAAAAACTTTGTGCTGATAACAACTGTGTCGTAATTTTTGATAAAAATTCCTTTTTTGTTAAGGACAAAATTTCGGGGACGGTCCTTCTGCAAGCTCCTAATCATGGTCATCTCTATCCAGTCAGCCTCAGTCCTCAGCCTCCGATTGCTTTGTCTTCTCTTGTTTCATCTGGCCCCATTTGGCATCGTAGATTAGGCCATTGTGGCACCTCTATTTTACGTACTTTACATAGTCAGCGTCATATTTGTAATATCTCTACTTTTTCACATGACTGTATTTCTTGCCGATTAGGCAAATCTCAACGTTTACCATTTATGGATGCTAGTCATACTTCTACTGTACCCTTGCAACTAATTCATTCGGATGTTTGGCAATCTCCTGTTTCATCTAATTTGGGTTTTAAATATTATGTATGCTTTATTGATGATTTCTCTCGCTATACATGGTTGTACCCCATGCGCACGAAGGCAGAAGTTTTTCATCATTTTACAAATTTTAAAGCTTTGGTTGAAAATCTTTTTAATACTAAAATTAAAGTTTTTCAAAGTGATGGAGGGGGTGAATTTGTTAATTTTAATATGCAACAATTTTTTGCTACTCATGGAATATATTTTCGCAAATCTTGTCCTGACACACGTCAACAAAATGGGGTTGCTGAACGTAAACATCGACATCTGTTAGAACTCACTAGGACTATGCTTATTGAAGCATCTATTCCTAGTCAATTCTGGGTTGATGCAATTTTTACGGCTGCATATATTATTAACCGCTTACCCTCTCCATTACTTGCCAACTCTTCTCCATATGAAAAACTTTTCCACAGAGTTCCTGATTATGCCTTCATGCGTGTGTTTGGTTGCTCTGGTTTTCCAAATATTTCGGCCTCTTCTGCAAATAAACTCTCAGCCCGTTCTGTTCATTGTGTTTTTATTGGCTATGCATCTGGTTATAAAGGGTACCGTTGTCTTGAACCTAAATCAGGTAGAGTATATGTCAGTCGTCATGTTAGGTTTCTTGAACATAGTTTTCCGTTTACCCTCTTAAATTATTCCTCCTCTGAATCACTTTCCTCTAGTCCTGAAAATTCTCAGTTCACTCTAACTAACACCCTTCGGCCTTCCTCACCGACCTTACTGCCTACAACTCCCCCTGTGTATCCAGCCATCCCATGTGTCAACCCATGCCCACCACCCTCGGCCACTCCCACTCCCAATCAGCTCCAACCTTGGTCCACTCCCAGTCCTCACCTTCAGTCACGGCAACCACTGACCAGCCCAGCCCTCCCTCGGCCAACACTCACTTCAGCTCCCAGACCAACCCCTTCACCCCACCCTCGGCCAACACTCAATTCAGCTATCCGACCAGCCCCTTCACCTCCACAACCAACCAATTCAGTAGCCCACCCCATATACCGTCCTCGGCTGTCACACCTTCTAGTCCTAACAGTTCATCATCTTCTCCTCCCATCACCTCAGTTGGTCCCCGATTTAATGTTCATCCCATGCAAACTCGGGCTAAGTCCGGTATTTTTAAACCAAAAACAATTTTTACGTTAAACACAGTGGTTAGTGCAGCCGATCCGACTTGTTTTTCTGAGGCACAAAAACATTTAGTTTGGCGTGAGGCTATGGCAGATGAATTTAATGCGCTTATTTCCAATAATACCTGGGATTTAGTTCCATTTGATAGCTCTAAAAATGTGGTCGGGTCAAAGTGGATTTACAAAACTAAGTTTCACTCCGATGGGTCTATTGAGCGCCACAAAGCACGTTTGGTTGCTCAAGGGTTTAATCAGCAGGCTGGAGTAGATTTTTCTGAGACTTTTAGTCCTGTCGTTAAACCCACCACTGTTCGTATAGTTCTTACTCTTGCTATTTCTTTTGGGTGGGTTATGCGTCAGTTGGGTGTAAACAATGCATTCCTTCATGGTTATCTTACAGAGGAGGTCTATATGCGTCAACCGCGAGGTTTTGTCCATCCACAGTTTCCTCATCACGTGTGTCGTTTACGCAAGGCCATATACGGTCTCAAACAGGCCCCGCGGGCGTGGTTTCATCGTTTTAGTAGTTTCTTACTTACTCATCATTTTGTGTGTAGTAAGTCAGATAATTCTCTGTTCATTTACCGGACCGGTCAGTCAGTTATGTATTTATTATTATATGTGGATGATATTATTATTACTGGCAATTCTCCATCTCTTGTGTCTTCTTTCATTACATGTATTGCTTCTCATTTTGCTATGAAAGATCTCGGTGATCTTCATTATTTTTTGGGAGTCCAGGCTGTTCGAAACTCTACAGGAGTTTTCTTGTCTCAACAAAATATGTTTCTGATCTTCTTCTTCGTTTTCACCTACACACTCTCAAGTCTGTTCGTACCCCTGTCGCCACTCGTACATCTCTCTCTCTCACTGATGGTGAACTCCTTGCTGATGCTACGGAGTATCGAAGTATGGTAGGTGCATTGCAATATTTAACTTTGACAAGACCTGATATTACTTATGCAGTTCATTTAGTGTCTCAATTTATGCATGCCCCACGCACCACTCACATGCTTGCTGTCAAGCGCATATTTCGCTACTTACAGGGTACCATTGATCATGGCTTATGGCTTCAAAAATCTGCACGCTCCTTGTATCTTTTGGCTTACTCCGATGCTGATTGGGCAGGATGTCCAGACACTTCCCGCTCTACTACAGGTTTTGCTATTTTTCTGGGTCCTAATCTTGTATCTTGGAAATCCAAGAAGCAGCCTACGGTGTCTAAGTCTTCTACAGAGGCAGAATATCGAGCCATAGCATATACAGTACAGGACACGCTTCACATACGTTCGGTCCTATTTGAGCTCGGCTACCCTGTCCGTAATCCAGTGCAGTTATTTTGTGATAATATCTCGGCTTCCTACTTGACTGCTAATCCTGTTCAGCATGCTCGCAGCAAGCATATTCAGATTGATTATCACTTTGTTCGCGAGAGAGTTGCTCATGGTGATCTATTGGTGAAGTATGTTCCCACACACTTACAGCTTGCGGATATATTCACTAAAGCTTTATCTAGTCAGCAGTTTAATTTTTTTAAAGAACAACCTGCGCGTTGTATCTCCCGCACAGCTTGAGGGGGTGTAATAGTTAATATAAAATAGGAATTCTTGTATCTTTTGGAAACTCTTATTCAGTATAAATATACCTGCCAGGACTCCTATTGGAGTACCTCTTTCCCATTATTTCACAGCCGGGCGCCCCGATTTTCGCCTAGGCGCTCCGACTAATTGGTTTGCCGCCTATGTGAATTAGTCGGCGCCTAGATTTGCCAAACATTTTTATTTTTTAATTTTAATTTTCTAAGTGATATACATACTTTAACTTTACCCATGGATATTAAGAAATGAAATTGTAAATTAAGATAAAACTATATATGTTTGTCTATATACGTAAATTTTATCATTATTTACAATATTACTTATCATATTTATGCAAAAATATAGATAAAAATGTAATTTTTATTAATCCGACTAGTCACCGACTAGGCGCCCCGCCTAGCCGCCTAGGCGCTAGACGGTGGGTTGACGTCTGACTAGCGTCTAACGCCTTTTAGAACATTGATTCAACATTACACCACATATTACCCATAAAATAAAAAAATAACAAAGGCAGACAGAGGCATAACTTCATCAGTAAGGAAAATATTTTGTAAATTTTGAGGTTGTGTTTTCGTCGGATCAGGGATTTGAGAACTGAGCTAAGGGGAGAAACAAAAAGTAAAAATGAAAAGAAAAAAGGAATTTAAAAGAATGAGGGTATCAAAGTAATATTGGACCTTATATATGGTGTAAAAACTATACACAGTGCGTATAAAATTTGTGTATCTCTACCATTTTTGTTTTACGAAAAAACGTATCATTTTTGTATAATTGAGTGACTCTCTATTACTACCTCCGTCTCACAAACATTGGAAAATGAAGAAATGACACAATTATTAAGAAAGACGATTTGTGTGATTGATATTTAATTAATAAATTAAAAATAAAGTAAGAATGATTTAGAAGCATATAAACTTTACTAAATTATGTATGTGAATCTTAGTGGACCAAAAAGGAAAGATAAAACCATCTTAACGGGACGAATATGAAATATTATTAAATCAAGGAATTAGTAAATTTTATTTTTGAGAAGAAAATCCAAGTAAACTACATTATTTTAGTTATTTTTCTCTTTAACAAAACAACTAATACGAGGTCATATTCGAAAGTCAACTGATTTAAAAAAAAAAAAAATTAGGGGCTAACATTAATATGTCTAGTACGTAAAATCATAAGAAATTTATAGAACTATTATAATTATACTCCGTATTATATACTATCGTATATAATAAAAAAAAACTCCAAGCAGGGGAGTCGCCTTATCTCCCCTAAATCCATTCTTGAACAAGAACACTTGATTTCAATTTGATAAAAATACAGATCAACAGTTATAAAATACAAACAGTACACCTATTAGCACATATAAAAAGAGGTTCTAAAATTAACCAATAAGTTAAATAATTACTACGTATAAATTATGAATTAAAATATTTGAAGCATCTTAAGACATTCGTGAAGTACATAGGATGGCGAACAAAACAAAACTTATAATCTAAGATTTGATGCTCGGGCTATTGTGCGGGTCGGGTTCCGGGTCTGCCCTGGGATCCAAACCCGTATCGTCCTCCACCCCATTTGTTGTCTGATCTTCAAAATCTGACCGTAGAAATGACAGATCCAACGGCTTATTACCCCCCTTCCCAAAGTACTTCAACGCCGCGTGCATCCTCCTCAAGATAGCATAGAACTCTTCCACCTCCTCGTCTTCCGCCGCCTCCGCCGCCGCGTCCAATGTCAAATCCAGAGGCTTTACGATTCCGTCCACATCCGCCGCCTTCATCCGCTTAGCCGCCGTCTTCCCGATGCACTCGCCGTCGGACCGCCGCTTCTCCGCCTCCATTTAAGTGCCTGCGTTTATAAATGGGTGATGACTTGGTGGGTGATTTACCGTGCACGAATGAGTGAATGGGGGTAAGGATGAAAGGTTGTTTATAAATACTCGTAGTCTTCAGGAACAGTAAAACGGTAAAAAGTAAGCGTCGGTGAATAATTGATGACGTGCGGTCGTGGCAGAAACATGACGTATAAGAATGATAACGGATTACAATGGAATCGCTTACGTAAGTGCTAGTCATTACCCGTTAAATGCGGCACTAATTTCCTTTTTGGGAAAATGAGCAAAATAGCAGATTAGTGCTTCATACTCCGTATTAGTTTATTGGTGTTCGAAAAAGTTGAATCCCAACGCCGAAACCCCTTACAACCAGGTCCAAAAGATATTTGAGATGTTGTAAGTAATGGTAATTTAGCCAGCCTAAGGATGATAGAATTTTATACGGTGCGCATCAGAGGTTTAGCTTAGTAGACAAATTTGTAACATCCACATGGTCGCGACGGCGTTCGATATTTGGCCTGTTCCAACTTTCTTACCGCACAACCAATTGATCGAGTTAGCTGTGCATTTTTTGAAACATTGATAAGATTTTAACGGAAATTTCTCCGCACTAGAATAAAGCATTTTTATAAAAATAGGACCTTAATTTTAGATGATTTTTTTTATTAAAAGAAAAACAAAAAAATACCTTAATTTTGCTTTTCTTTAAATAAGATTAATCATTTTATTGCTACTCTTAATTTAATCAAGTAATTAGTTAAACTAATTAATTGCTTCCTAGTTCCCTTGCATAATCAAGGTCAGTCCGTTGGGATCAGTCCATGGTGGCAGTAGCGAACTCATGCGGTGGATTTCAGGAAGGTCGGCGGAGATTTCTAGATAAAAATACCGGCGAAGGCGGCGGTTTTGTGGCAAGTCGATGGAAAATTTGTGGGGAAAAAAATCCGGCTCTGGTGGCCCGGCGGCAGGTGGTGGCCCATCAACCTGAGGGTTGCAGTTCTTCAACCCTATGAGACTATTTTGGTCAAATCACAAATAAGACATTTTAAACTAGTATGTCATATTTTTGGAAAATGAATGAGTTTTGCTCTTATTTGAGGTCTTCTCCCAATCTTTTATTGTTTTAAACCTAATAAATGGTATTTTTCTTTGAGTTTTACTTTTATGTTTAATTTCTATGTTGTATTTATGATTTTTTTTATTGTAATGTCATTTTCCGATCCAATCCAGTCTAGTCTGGATTGATCTGAATTGGACTTGTGTCTTTATGTCTGGTTTGATCTGCTTTTGGATGGAAACCCGCCACATTAAAAATGAAAATGATTAAAGTTCTACATGAAAAATGATTGTATGTGAAGTGTATTGAAGTAACAAGTAGCGATCTTGTTTTGATGATTTTTTTGAATATGTTCTCATCAACTCTAGTTTATGCCTATCTAAATTTAACTTAATATTCAATCGAGAAAGAAGTTAAATATATCATTTAAAAACATTGTGCTCTATATATATATATATATATGTATATATATGTATGTGTGTGGGTATATATATATATACACATATACACACACACATCAGCAACACAATATTTTTCAATTTCACATTTGACTAACTTTCTGATTGAACTTTTAACCGAAATGTTATGTAGATAATCTACACTTAATGAATAAAATGTTCAAAACAAATTATCTAAAATTCGACCTGAAAACCCCTCAAATGAGTTTGGCAGAATGGTGGGTCCTGTCAGGCTTGCTTGACAAGAACTCCACTCTTGAAGTAACCATTTGCTGAATATGTTGGTATGTGACTGTTCTTGTTTTAAATTACACCCAAAACCTTTAATTGTTTTAACATTAAAACAATATATTAGACAAAGCTCCTTACCATATATTCTCACGGTAGTCGGTACCGTGGCAGGTTCGAGTCTCATCCCAATCAAGGATGTTAGCATTAACAAGAGCAGATATTATAATAAGTTTAGAAGAATATTTCAAAATTAAAAACAATATCTATGTATTTAGTTTTTCACGGCAATGAGAAAATGTTATTAACATAGTTGACATTCTTGTTTTTTTTTTAAATAAAAATACAGCAAAGTTTACATTCCTTTTTTTTAAAGAAAGAGTAAAGTTTACATTCTAGATTACTTTTTTTATAAAGTCTTTTGCGACACAAAATCAACTTGCTAGCTGCTAGTGATTATTGCTCTTTACTGCTTTTACATTTAGGATGTTTTACATAGACTGGTTTTAATATGAGATCACATCACATTTAAATATAACAAATCGGATTTTAACAGTTGCAAAATAGATACTATATACTAGACATTAATTGGATGAGATCAGAAAATTCCATTCTAACTACAAATACCTTTTAATTTATATGAAAATAGTTACACTCTATATTGAGATTTGGTTTTCATATATTAAAATTTTTCGCACATCGAGGAAACATGACCTAATGAATTAGGTATTACTCCGTACTAGAAATAGTTTCCTAGAAATGACTTGTTCTCCCAATTAGCTGCTTTTCGTCTGGGCATTGGGTCAAACTAAAATTTGAAACATAAGTGCCCGTTTGGAGACCTCTTTTTTCCGCTTATCAGGCTTATCAGCCAACTTTTTCACCAAACACGTAACTTTTACTTTCGCGCGTTGGATTGTGTAATAAGCAGAAAAAGTAAGGTTGGAGTAACTTTTTTGGCTGTATTGGCTGAAGTTACTGTAGAGGACCATTTTAGCTATTTTTACATATAATTTTTTCTTTATTTTATTAATAAAATATATTTTTAAAATATTTTTTACTTGAATCAGCAGAATAAGCCAAAACAGCCACTTCAGCCAGAACTTCATCAATTTCAGCAGAATCAGCCAAAACAGCCGATTTTGGTACTACCAAACGGGCTCTAAGTTTGCGAATTCCCAGTTTACTTGAGGTAGTAAAAATGTATTGAATACATACGAAGTATTTAATAATTAATTGATATACTCCTCCGTCCCGCAAAGATGTTCCCACTTTCCTTTTTTGGATGTCCCAAAAAGAAGTTCCTCTTTCCTTAAATGAAAAGTTATCCTACATCAAAACAGTGTCAAACAGTGCAAAACAGTGTCAAACAGTGTCCAAACAGTGTCCCAACAGTAAAATTTATTCCCTGATAAGTTTATTTCCTTAATATGTGTGTAGGTCAAACCGGTAACATCTTTGCGGGACGGAGGGAGTATTATCTTCTTTTCTGTAATTAACTCAATTCATACTTTTTATGCCCTCAAATTAAGTTTTCATTTTCGCAAAAAAAATTGATCAGTTGGAAAGTCTAACAAAAAGTAGACTCACTTAGGCATGCGTTATCTAAACTACAAAGTAGAAGTTAATTACGAGGCTACGTGGTGGCTCAAGTGTTAATTGAAGTTATTGAATAGAGCTGCATTATCGTGCCCACTACTTAACACTCATGGGCTTCATTGAGTCTGGGAAACCATTCTCATTATGGATTTCATGATTATATTTTAGAGTAATACTGGAATCCTGGAAGAGATGCCTGCTTAGAAAAACCTGCTCACAAATAACTTTTTGATGACTTATTATGTGTTCATAATAAACCTCTACTATCAGCAACCATTCTCATTCAATTTCTTTACAACTTTCTGAAGCAAGTGAAGTGCTATATATGCTACTATGTTGCAAAAAAAATCATCCTTTTGCACGCAGGAGTTTCTAGGAGTTCTCTAGGGGATGAAATGCATTTGTGCTGGATATAATAGCATGTTTTCTGAGCTTCTCTTCTCTTCTCTTCTCTTCTCTAGAAGCCCATGGGCTTCTACAATTATATTATCTTACTTTATAAAGTAATTAATCACTAAGAATTACTATATGTATATAGGATCCCCTATTCAAGATAAAGTTACTTTAGACATATAGGGAGTGATAACTTTATGTAAATATCACCCGATTCATTTCTTTTGTCTTATCTTTATTTGTTTCTTTCCTATCCCTTTTCAACTTTTTCCCCTTAAAAAAACTCACAACATTTGTTTTGTGTGCAGTTTTTCGTCAAAGCGCTCTCACTATCTAAATTGTGTATGCAAATTCTCAGAAGTATTGAGTCGAAATTTTCTGGAATATGATAGTTAAGTTTATCTTTTCACAGGTATTTCAACAATCTTTAGTAACATTATTGTATTAATTAATATTCTTAAGATGTTTTTTGACAGATAAAGACTAGAAATTATAGTATGTCCACCAACTGCTCTTCTTGTGCGGGCGTAGGAGTATTGTAGTAATTAATACATAGTATAAGAAAGAATTAGAAACAACATGATTTTTCATTGTGGTCCAATATTTGGTTCCTGTTATAACTCTGACAGTTCAATAGAGAAGATAATTACAAGCTTAAAATGCACATAGAGCGTTGCAAACTATGAGCAACATGGAGGTATAATTGAATAGGTATAAAGTGTACTATATAAGAACTCCTTTGTTCTACATGAAGTTTGAAATGTATGAACACCCAGAAGACTGCTATGTAGTGAACACACTGCATTCTCTTAAGGATTTGATTTTTCTTTGTGGGAGCCAGGGAGGTAACTGTCGCTGGATGTATGCAATCTGAAGCGAAGTTTCTGATTATAAATGGTTGTGTAAAAAGTTCTTAAGAAGCAGACCTGGAAAATCCTGAAATAGCATCTGTCTTGACACATCAGACGGGAAGGGAAAAGAAAGAATGAGGGAACACATCTTTCTTAACATAGCATCTGTCTTGACACATCCTGAATGGGTTAAGCCCAACAGTATATCCGTAAATACTTTTAATCCAACCCTATTTTCATAGAAACTTAATTAATTAGCATTAATATGGAAAAAAACTCTCAATTTGTTATAAAGAAAACACTCGAACGTTAAATTATAAAAATCTTAAAAAATAAAACAAGAATCGGTGGTTGCATTTTTGTAATACTCGGTATAAAGTTATCCTTGAAAATTAGCAGTTTCAATAAAAAAAATTCTTAGAAATTTAAGTTTAGATTAAAATATTGTAGCATTTTGAGCATTTTGAGCTAAAAATGCTCTTGGTAACTCTTCATAAAAAAAAAAGATGACACCCCATCTCTGAGGGTCCCCCAACACTGACCAGACAGCAAGATGGGAGGATGTTAGTTGGACTATAATCACAACCTGACAGATAAAGAGTGGGACCCCGTCCCCGGTACTTGTAGAGATCCTATGCATTTTTCAGCATAGTAACCCCTTATAGCAGTTGC